ACACGCAAGCAATGTAAGTCCAGAACACTCGCGTAATTACCGGAATATTCCTATACAAATCCCACTATCGCGCGCGTAGAAAATTCCAGAGCGCCAAAGGCGACGTCATGTCTGGAGCGTTTCCGTTACACTATCATCGAAAATGGTATTATCGTCCAAATCACAAATTTTTTTATATTTTATTTTATAAAATAAAGAAAAGAGAGTTAAATCCGTTAAATGCGGTCTTTGAAAAATGCACAACCGTAAAACGGACACTGTTCTGCGATATTAATAATAGTTTATTTATTTAATTGATGAAGTTTCTCTAGAATGATTCTACCTAAAACGCAAATTGCTTTGGAAATGATTTGAATCGAAAGATTGAGAGGTTCCACCGTTGCTTGTGAAGATGCACACATTTTTGGAGCTGGCAACTGCACGGTTTTTTGAAAGGGGAAGCTGTCTGCATCGTCTGAAGACTTCTTACGTTACAGCCATCTTGGTTTGAGTTGTTATGTATGGAAAATGCTGTTTTGTTTGAAACCGTTATAATTTTTGGTGGTAAATATTTGCTCAATGTATGATTTTGTTTTGATTACATAGTCTTGATCAAAGTTTAATTTTATTTTTTATCATTTGTTTAAATTTGTACCTAAAAATTATGGAATTGATTGTGTGTACTGAGTCGTTCCTTGTTAACTAACACTTTTCGCCGTGAAGACGATCACGTGAACGGGAAATACTGCAACCAAACTAGTTACGACATCCAAGCTATGCTTGGGTCTTGAATCTCAACTGTAGGCTAACATATCCCGTACGAGGGACAAGTTACAAGTCCCAGGGGTGGACTTTGCTAAGAAAAACTCTTCGGTTTACAATCCATGTGCGGTATAAGTGGCGATTCACCAATTTCCACATGTTCCGCGATTTATATATTGAATTATTCTTTCAAGGTCTAGTTTCTTTTAGTAAAGGGTTTTACTGCAACATATACGAATTATCTGTTGTACAGCTACCTTCTTTTGTGACCTGCCTGTATCACAACCAGTTCCATGTTTTGCAAGTTACTTTTAACCTGTTTTTGTATATTACAGTGTTTTATTTTGCGTTTCCTCCGTACTGTACTTCAAGCTTTAGACTTTCGATCACGTGTCACTCAAGTAAAGTACTACTGGCGGTATTTTAGAGATACAGTGCAGGAAAGTAAACTATAAACATTTGTGTCCTAAGAATTGTTTCAGGTGTGTTAATTGGAGCGAGCTCCGGCCTTTTTAGTGGTTTTTTGTGTTTGTATAGCTTTAAAAATGTATTATCTCGTGCATTACAAAATTTGTAATTGTTTAGTGCTTATTTCATCGAAATCGGTTCAGTGATTGAGATTTTACGAATTTTTACAGTTTTAAGTTTAATCTCAAGATTAATAACGCGCGAGACTAATTAAATCGTGAGAAGACAGGGCAGGAACCTCCAATCAACAGGACAAAAAAGGGCGTAAAGTTAAGATAAGTGCTTACTTTCTTACTTACTCACTTACTTACTTAGAATTAAGGCTAAATTTAATTAAAAAATTTAAAAGTGAACAAAGGGGAAAAAGATAGAATAGAGAGGCGCAAGTCACTGGGAGCTACATTGAATATACCTACTTCGAATCGGGGTGGAACAAATTGACCCTTGGGAAAGGAAATATAAACTTGTCAACCGGAGACATATAAAGAAACTAAGCCATAAATTACAATATTTAAGCTCTCAAATTTCGGTCTAATAGGCATGATTGACAAAAAAAGGAAACCTTTCTTACCAAATTACAGCGGCTTTTTTTTCCTGTTTTTTGCGCTTTTTACTTTCGTTAGTACCTTTAGTTTAGAGTCTCCCAGACACAATAGAATATACGGGGCGGTCAAAGATAGACTGAAGGGGCACGTCTCGGTGACTTAACAATTAACTTAACTAAATTATCTCTCCTAGGTATCTCTTTTAGCGATCACTAAACAGCACCCACCACCCAAACCAGGATTAAGACCTTAAAGACAAGTACTCGTAACAGCGATCAAATAGAAGTGCGATCATCAAAAGAATACATCCTAGAATGCATCAGTATAAATAAGGATGGGGACTGCCTGTTTGGAGCGATTGCGCACCAACTGAGGCGACTGCCAGTGACATCAGTGCCTCACAGGAAATTAACCAAATGATTAAAAAAGAAATCAGCGCATACATCATGGAAAACCTGGAAGATTTCTACCCACAATTGATAGGAGACGTAGACGGATACGTGGAGGGAAGAAGGAGAGAACCAGCAGGGTTGCGGAAATCGTAATCAAGAAGCGTGCATTGAGGTGGAGAAATTTGAAGGAAAAGCAAGAGTATATCCATGGCCCAAATCAAGATGAAAATAAGAAGACTAACAATCATAGGATGCCACATCCCCTCGGACAAAAGAGGGCAGGCGGAACTCAGAAATCGAAGTGAAACAACAAAAAAAAGTGCGAAAAGAACCGGGGTATCATACTAGGCGACTTCAATGCACAACTAGGCAGACTGGACGGAAGTGAATAGGAGGAAGGGAACGCAGCGACCTTTACGAACATGGTACACCTACATGGACTGAGGGTAGAAAACATATTCGGCAAGTCCAAAATGGTAACATGTAATCAAAGTAAAATAAGCGTCACGAACACAGCAGACATATGGGCAAAAAACAGTAGGATAGGACCACAAAATGGTAAAGGGGAAAGTAAAGAGAGGGGAGGGGAAGAAGAGAACAGGAAGGAAAGGACAAGGAGCACAACGGGGAAACCGAAGGGTGGAATGTGAAGGGGAGAAGAAAAGAAAGGAGTACAGAAAGCAGTGGTAAAAGATTAGAAGCAAAAAGGGGATGGGGTACCATATGAAAAAAGTTCGGCGAAACGATCAAAGAAGCAACAAGGAAAACACTAGGGAAACAGAAACCGCCCATGTGACCGAACAGAAAGTGGGCCAAAACCCACACTAACCTGAAACAAAGAAGAAGCTAAGGGAAGCCAAGGAAGAAGAAAACAGAGCCTATGAGCAACACGAAACCAAGGAATTCGCCGAGTTCGCGGAGAACATCACCAAACTCAGACCAATGGAGAGGAATACGGAAATGTAATGGTATAGGCACATCAGAAAATATAAAAGGAGGAAACAAGGGGGAAACAGAAAATATATACCAATGACAGCGTGGGCGATGCTGGGACTACCCAAATTCATAATCAACAGAACCATACACGCGTGGCAAAGGGAGTATACTAGTATACAATGGTTTTGGAAGAAAACCGAACACCAAAAGAAAACCAGGGGGATCAAACAAGGATATCCGTTTCCCCAAGGCTCTTCGCGATAGCACTTGACCACGCTATAGAACAAACAAGGATGGTGGCGAGGAACCTTAGCATAGGCGACCAATTACAACTACCGACATTACCGTCGTACGCGGACGATCTACTCGTAATCGCGGATAATTCGTCCAGGCCATCGGGATACCAGGCACTCGGAAAGGGTGGACCTACAAATATACAACGAAAAGAGCTACATGATGACAAGAGTGCCAGCAAACAACACCCCCAGTACAAAGAAGGAGAGAAGACCATAGCCGGGAAGGGGATAACCATGAAGCACAAGATCAAATATCTGGGAACGTACATAAACAGCACCCTCAGCAGGCACAACGCAGTGCAAGACAGAATAACCAACGCATTCAGAATCACACACGGAATCTGGAACTTCATACGAGCGAAGAAAATACCGGACAGCTTGAAATGATGATTTACAACACGATCGTAGCACCGACAATCTTATACGGAATTAACACTTCAGCGCCAACAAAGAGCAACAGACGAACATTGAGGAGGCCGGAGTGGAAGGCACTCAGGATACTGAAGAAAACAGCAACCTCACAAGAAAGCAGAGAAGAGAACTATTAGAGGAAAAGACGATTGCCAGGAGACTGAAGATGAGGCAGATGAGATACTAGGGACATACCAACAGGAGGAATAAAGACCATATCATCCGGGCTGCCAAGATTCTATGTGCCTCGGAATGGAAGGTAGGCCGACCCTGCCAAACATGGAACACCACCATAAACCAAACAGTAGAGGTCTCGGGGATTACCATGGGAAGATGGGAAGAGAATAGCAGAGACAAACATCAAAGGAAGAAAGAAAGCAGAAGAATACTGAAGGTGGAGGAAGAATCAGCCACAAGGACAAGGAGCTAAGGGGAGGAGGAAAAGGGGACAGAAAGTAATGCGGGGAGAGGACAACAATAAAAAGAGCCTAACACGAGGGAAAACAGGGAAGGGAACGAGACCAAAGGATAGGAACATCGGAAGCCAATGAACGCCCGGAGAAGAAGCTATCACTAGAAAGCAGAGTTCCCTCTAAGGCAGAATACCAGTGGCGAAGCTGTGGCCGTACCCGTTCGGGTCGGATAACACCCAGTTAGCCGCCCCCCCACAACCCCCCCAATCCACAAAATCCACCACATTGTTTGGCATATGTCGCGGCCCAGCGCGATGGCAACAAAGTAGTGGAGAAACGTCCCTGATAGTGTCTACCAGGGACGCATCCTCACGACAGTTGACTAAATCCTGGGAGAGGCGGCGACGCCAGGCATATGTCAAAGTTTCAAGTTTCAAGTTTCAAGAATTGTTTCAGGTGTGTTAATTCTGTGTTAACAAATGTCTACGTACGAGTATAGTCTCATCATGGAGATGTCGGTTAGAATGGTCACACAACGTGTTGCAATTCAAAATCGGAGTCTTACGGTTGTGAGTAGGTTCTTAATACTGCTTAATTGCCGACAGTACGTAGGTACATTAAACCACAATAATTTCAAGAATTACCTAACATTGTTCTTTTCAAGAATACTATGACGGTTTTGAATAAAAGGTGTTGCCCTAAATTAAACTTAACAATTTTGGAATCCTAAAATACGATTTATTAATAAATCAAGATTTCGCTTATCACTAAAACATGTACCTAATAACAATAGTTAGCACTAATTTAGTAACATCAAAGAATACATCAGTAAATGCACCTGCGTCATCACTTGTTAGTGGTGGTAATATACCATACCCACTCTCTTATCATCTTTTGGTATCCGAAAATCAATAGATATAATGTAAAACAATGCAAAATGGTGACGCAGAACATCTCGAAAACTGTAAGCATAGATAGCGCATATTGATTTATAACATCTAACTACAAGCATTGGACACCCTTTCCAATTAATACCGTTTACAAACGTGGCTCAATCCTCGCATACACACCATGTTTACATTGTTCACACTCACAAAATCCAGGTACGTATACTGGACTGGGTAGTACTGGCTGAGTATTAAAAAATGGCAAGAATGGGTATAGGCTGTGCATAAACACTTTACTACCAGTTAGCAGCGGCATGCCACTCTGGTGACTTCCTCCAAATGCTTTCCCAGCCTTAATACCGGTATGTACAGGTTTAAATGCTGAATTATACTCGTCTTTTTTAACATCATCAAGCTCCAGCTCCGGTTTTGTATGGTTGTGATTAATGTTAAAATGTTCGATCGCTTTCAAGAGATCATGGTTACATCTACGTAGAACCAATTCTAAGACTGCTCGTTTTTTGTTCGGGAACAGTTTGCCGAGCATCTCTATCGATGCGGAACTGACAACGACTTCATCGGTAGCGGTGTTATCTTCAGGCGAGGTCGCTGGTTTCTCTTCTTCCAGAAGTTCGGTTTCGGGCGACGTTACTTGCATGCCGAAAATGCGACCGGGCGGCAAATATTCGTAAGTTGTGCCGCTTTCGGCCGAAGCCAAGTGCAATGCAATTGCGTCCTCTGCCGCTTGCTGCCTTTTTAGTGCAACCTGTAAAGATAAAGTACAATATTAAAAGTTCAGATTGGTCCATATGGATTCATTTTTCATTTAAGGATCTTTCATGGTGCAATTAAACTTATCTGACAGTTAGTTACAAAATAAATATATTTTCATAAGAGGATAGATACGTTTCGGATCATTGAACCACAGATTAACTACACTGTGGTTGAACTGAGACGCTGTGAGAGTATATAGAAGCAGACTAGAGGAACAAGGAGAAGAAATAGGAGGGAGTACAGAAGATGGATGGAATAATATGAAAGAGAGTATTAAAAAAGCGATAACGTGGAAACAAATATGTGAAGGGGAGAGGAAAGAAAAAAGAAAAGAGTGGGGGGACATAGTGTACAGAAGAGAGAAACAGATATATAGAAATGATGGAGAGAGAAAGAAGAGGGGAAATAGAGGAGAAAGAGGGAAAAGAACAGAAAAAATTACAAAAGAAAATGTAAAGAAAAAAGACAGAAAGAATAGGAAGAAAGAATAGGAATAGGAATTGGAATAAGAAGATCAAATCAGAGAAATAAGGACAGAGAAGGATTCTTTGAAGGTGATAAACAGGTGAGAAAGAAAAATAGAAGTAGGAGGGAAATATATTTAGAGGAATGGAATAAGCAATGAAAGCAGAAAAAGAGGAGGCTATAGAATAGGTAGGAAATCGGGAGATTGAAGGAGATGGGATAACAAGGGGGAAGAGCTGCAATTAACAAGGTTAAAGAGAGGAAAAAGGCAGGGAGAGACGAAACAGTAAATGAGACTTGGATTTTCGCCACAGGGTCAAGGAAAGGATGAGGAATCTAGTAAACAAGATATGGAAAAGAGAGTGTTTACCTGAAGAATGAAAGCAAGGGGTGCCGATATTCAAAAGAGGTGATTATAAATTATAGAGGAATTATGATAATGATTCCTGTGGCGGCGTATAGAGTTTACGGTACCGAATAAAAGAAAGAAAAAGAAATGGAAGAGAAGAAGATGTTGGAAGAAACACAAACGAGATTCAGAAAAGAGAGGAGAACGATCGACTGTATATATGTTGTTATGTAATGTAATGTCATGTAGACGCTATTTCGGCCTAAACACTAAAACCCTGTATATGAGAGTATTTCAATTTATTAAGCGTAAATCTGCGGCATTATTTACGAATAAGCAGAGAGTTGGTTTATTTTACTTGAATTTGTGACGCAGTGTTATTTTTCCTTTCAGAATTGTTTGTAATTGCGTATTATTTGCTTGTATGAATTTTATTGCTACTGTAATTCATTCAATTTAGATAAGATGCTTTAAGTTACACACATCTGGTCGAGTTTGCGTACTTTTCATAAAAGGTTTTATCTGATTGTTTTGCGTCAAGGAGTTTTTATCGGACGAAATTAACGCACGTGTTCTTATCGCTCTTAGAAGATGCAGGTATTTTACAAATTGCGCGATATTTCGGCGTGAGTGGGGAATGGGGATGCGTTTCTTCGAAGCTGGCGTTATCACGTATTGTTGTGATTGGCGGTGTTTTTGAAAATCCTGAAAAAGGAAATTATTTTATAGTGGAAGTAGGGTTTCCTTTAAATACTGGAATCAACTTAAAAACTAGCTGTTTCGCGAAGGTAAAAATATCGTGTAAAAGCTGACGGCGTGTTTACGTGCCTGAATATCGCATACTTTTCACGACCAGACTATTTGGATTCTTAAAAAACTGACAGTAATTTAAGATTTTTTACTACCCCCAATTTTTTTACGGAAATACACGTTTTGAAGCACCAGGAATCCTAATCAAACAAAATCTCGATGATGTCGATCGGTCTGTCGGTCCGTCGTGGTCCTTTCGAGCATTCTGCCGTCTACTACTAAATAAATAAATAAATAAATAAATAAATAAATAAATAAATAAATAAATAAATAAATAAATAAATAAATAAATAAATAAATAAATAAATAAAACTAATTATATACAGAGCTCTGTGGCTTGGGAAGTTTTCTTTTGATTGATTTCAATTTCTACGAGAACTCAGCTCTCTTCTACAACAACATTAATTTTATTCGAGGTAAGAATTGCCTTAAATGTTTCACTTGTACTTGGCCCTATACGTGCGTATTCTCGTCCGAAATATTAATTTATTTGTGGAAAGTTGCAGATGAGTTGATTGACTTTTGCAAAGAAATGATTGTTAGGAACAAATGATTTGTGAACCAGAAAAGGATGCGCTGAGTGAATAAGAACTTGAGATATTGTTAATAAAGATAGATGATATGAAAACAGAGTATGGCTTAAGCCTAGGCTTAAGCATTAACCCAAGTAGCACAAACTTATATATAATAGATATTAAATATGAGCCATAAAATGTATAAAGAATGTATTAAATACATTCTGAGGAAACTTTTTTCTCCTATTAATATAATATTTTTCTTCTATTAAAAACATATTTAATTCAGTTCAAACATATATTTAAAAACTATTAAATTCAAGTAAAATACATATTTTCGTAACACTAAATATTCTATTAATTGAAAAAAAATAGATGTAAAATAGTAACAAAATATGTATAATATACATAAAAGATATTCACAAAATAGATATAGGTGACACAAAAAAACATATTTAAAAGTTAAAAAATACATATGAAGTAAGTACAAAATATTTACAAAATAGATATTATATGAGTCTGAAGTACACATTTAAGTAAAAAAAATACATATACTATACATACAAAATATATACATAAGATATTTAAAAAACGCATATTGTAGATTACAAATAGGTATTTAAAAGTTTTTTTTACCAATTTTGGAAATAAATCAATAGATAATACAAAATACATATTAAAAATACCCTAAATATCTAACGTCTCTACTTACAAATAATCTACTCAACTTTGGAAAGTTCCTCATTGATGTCTGCTGGAGCAGTACCGGTGTTTGATCTAACAAAAAAAATAAAGTTTTAATTTTCTTTATTCATGAATAAATTTGTATTCCTATTAACTAAGTGAACTAAAAATGGAGTAACTAAATTATTGTACTGGGTAGTGGGTAGTCACTTAGAAACTTAGACAACATTTATGAAAAGACATGAACAAGAATTTCATAGAATGCGATTTTCAAAGTCTAAAACCCAGGAATTAACTTCCAACACTAACAAATGAATAATATTATTTGAGTTGTATTCCTAGGGAGTGACAACATACCTACTTTATAGGCCAAAAACATATTTTATGAGAAACATACACAATAATTTAAAAGTACCATAGAAAGAGAATCAAATGTGCTCGGGTCAGTTTCTGATGAAGAAGAAAAAAGATCATGAACAGGAGAAGATTGACTGTAATGGGATGGTGAATGAGAACATGGACCTCGACATGCACTATGTTCACTATTAGATGAAGACGAATCTTCCGTATGGTCGTTTCTATCGCTTTGACGTTTTAAGCGTTTCCATTTCCCTGATTTTGATTATAAATGATATGGTTGTGTCGGTCGTTTATTATCCATAATTAAAAGAGAATCTGAAAGAGTCGACTATGATGAAATATTCCCCGAAACATTCTACCTGTAGAGCTGGTCAGTTTGTTATTAACAAAGCCAGGTTATATTAGTCACAAAATACTAATCCTAACGCTAAAGTTCATACCTCCATAATTAATAGGTCTGCATTCATAATATATTTACTAAATTACCTAGGTAGATACGTATTGCTAAAGCTAATAGAGTAAAATGTAATGTTAGGTATCAAAGCAAGAAAGCGATATCATGAATTGGAAATAAGAATTGTAGTCTTAGGTAAATGCATGCGAATTTGGGACTTACCTGTTGATTGTTCATACTTATTAGGTACACAAAAAGCACAACAAATTATTTATTTCAACTTGCAGAGCAAACTTCCAAAATGACGACCGATTAGTAAATGGTAAAACAGAAATGTGGTTGTATACTCGCACTTGCGCCCTTGCGGTAACTTGCTGCTGAGCCCGTTTAGGGGGTAACGCTTAAGAGCCGCTCCCTGCTTCCGCCCTTGCTTAATTGTTTACGCAAATCAGAGAAACGTAACCTGTTTTTCTCTTCAAATTCTTTTAACGGCATGCTGCCAAGGTCAACTGCTGTTATAGAAATACAAAAATATGCAATTCTTATCGGGACCCGAACATTAAACCCTCATTAAATACAAAAGCTCTCCGGCTTAGATCATGTCGAGGATCATGTAGATAAGAAAATGTTAATTCCTCTATTCATTAATTAATTTTAAGCCCTAATTTCCTTCTGCTGTAGTATTGTATATTATTCAAAACAAGATGCAAAAAATATATTTTTTAGATATTAAATAAATTTTTGTAAAATATGTAAAATAGGTGTTAAATAAGTATCAAATGTATATTTTAAAGGTATTAAAAATATGTTATAGACTTCTTTTAAATACCTTCTCAAAGAGTAACAAAATAGGTATTTAATATGTATTACACTAACACTAAATAGGTATCTTTCAATATATATTTTGTAGAAATAAAATACATTTTTTGAACGTATAAAACAGATACAAATCCTAGACTTATTCATAATATATCTTTATATAAGTTTTATATCTATTTTATACATATCTGTGCTACTTGGGAATATGAACAAAACACAAGTTATGAAAGTAGGAGTGCAGGAAGACATAACAGTAAAGGTAGAAAGGGCGAGGATAGAGGAAGAGGAAAGATATAAGTATTTAGGTACAGAGATCATATAGAAGGTTGGAAAAGCGAAAGAGAACTTAAGACCAAGATAACGATGACAAAACAAGCATTTAATGGTAAGAGGATAATTTTATGTAATAAGATGGAAATTGAATTAAAGGAAGAGGTTGGTATGATGTTTTGTATGGAGTGTTTGTTCTAACGTACGGTAGTGAAATGTGGACAGCAATAAACAGATACCAAGAAAAGTTGGAAGCTTTTGAAATGTGGATAGAGGAAAAATGAACTGATAAGATAAGTAATGTAGAAGTATTAAGTAGAATTGCAGAAGAAAGATGTAAGATCATAACGTGAAGGAAAATAAACGGGATTGGACACGTACTAAGAAAAAAAACTGTTTGTTGCAGGAAGTAATCGGGAGAACTGTTCAAGGAGAAAGGAGGAAAAGAAGGACAGGAAGGTTGACGACCTGCAGGAAAGAAAAGAAGGAGATTAGCAGAAAATTAATGATCTCATACCTATATTTTATAAAAGGTTACTTTTTATTACGTCATATAGGGAACAATTACCAACAAACGATTACAAATTATAACAGGTTTAGAAATTACAATATCGGGGGCGAACTTCACCTTCAAAATTAATTTTTTTTATTATAAAAACCAACAAAGGATAAGCATTGCCAATAAACAAACGATTGCAAATAAAAAAATTCACAGATTTCGCAATCCTATGTAAAACACAAATCGCTTGCTCCATTCGCTCGCAAGCTCACTCGTGTCGCAAACGTAGTCTTTCTGAACCATAAGCTTCATAACATGCTCGTAATCGTATTAAAGGAGGTGTACGAACATGTTAGATTGGAATTAACAAAGAATTGCGTACTATTAAGCAAGTACCGTATATCGACAGTATCCGCGACTTTTCTTTTACCTATACCGATCACAGTTGAGTACGGTACAATCGTCACTTGATGCGACACCGCTGTCTTCTCTGCTTGCGCGTAAAACTGATAACTTCATACCCTTATTAAACATAAGCATTTCCAATGGTAAAACCTTAAAATGTTAATGTTGGGGGCTAAGCTCACGCTCAACATTGTAAAAATTTATTCATACTATCAATCAACAAACGATAAACAATGTTCCACAAATGCCAACAAACGACCGACAAACGATTGCAAGTAAACAAATTCAAAACTATTTGGACTTCAAACCCAAAACTTAAAAAATTCATTCTGAAGATGCTATCATGCGATCATGCGATTTGACACGCTGTATCCTAAAAATGACTCGCTCAAATTTGAAAAATAAACCATAGGTGTGTGTGAAATTAAGCGCCCTTTCCAATGATGTGTCACTCGACCTAACGTTCAATTTAAAATTATTTAAGGGGTTGACAGCAGGGGTGTAAATTTTGAAGTAAAAGATGTCTCCCTTCCAACCAAAATCGACGTGTATCTTTGTGTTTGTTTCAAAAACAATTTCTTTGCTCTGTTTTGTTTTCGTTGGACCACCCTGTATACCTAATTAATGCTTTCTTTGCCTTCACGAGCCGTCTCTCAAACCGGTACGCGTCAACTCGCCAAGGGCGACTCGCCACCGGACCACTCGCCACCGACTGACTCGCCAACGGGACAACTCTCCAACGCGACAACTCGCCAACGGGACAACTCACCACCGCGACAACTCGCCAATGCGACAACTCGCCAACGGACGACTCGCCACTGCGTTAACTCGCCAACGAAATATTTTTTCCTGTTTAATGTGATTGTCAAATTTTCTGTTCAAAAATAATAATTTGCAGAAGATGTCGTTATATCAAAATGCAGTAATAGAAACAGGTATAGGCGGTTGGGTCTTCATTCAAATATTGACTACAATTTTTCGATAAACTTTTTTTACAAAATTAGGGAAATTGACTATTGCATTTGTGGGATGCATTTGTATGACACATTAAACAGATAAAAATATTTCGTTGGCGAGTTGTCGCAGTGGCGAGTCGTCCGTTGGCGAGTTGTCGCATTGGCGAGTTGTCGCGGTGGCGAGTTGTCCCGTTGGCGAGTTGTCGCGTTGGCGAGTTGTCCCGTTGGCGAGTTGTCGCGTTGGCGAGTTGTCCCATTGGCTAGTCGGACGGTGGCGAGTGGTGCGATGGCGAGTCGCCCTTGGCGAGTTGACCGTGTCCCTCTCAAACATACGTCTCTTATCTCTTTGTTACCGCAAGAAATCTTCCCTTCCTCGTCCAATGAACTAATTATCCATTGTCCAAGATGTCTAATGTCTATAGGTAGATTAGATAGTTCGATAAAAAAGGACAATACATTTCAATGGAATAAGGACCAATTTCATTAGAAATTGTCATTATTTACCTACCTACCAGCATAGGGCCACCAGAGTAGGGCACTCAAACGATAACTAATTCAATTAATTCATTTGGGAAATAATTCGTAACCTCATATAGAATAACACTTTCTGAGAATAATTCTTAAAAGCCCAATGTGCAGGTATGGTAGAGATTTGCGGTATTGCACTTTAGTCTATTTTAAACCTTTTGCATGCAGATGATTTAAATGAGACAGACGTTGTTAACAATGTCTAAGTAAATATTTGCGAATGGGATACATGATACTTGCTTAATGGAATATCGATCACACAATACTTCAATCTGTCACATGATCGCATTACATTATGAATAAGTGTTAATGTATTTATTGGGATGTCGTGCTGAATGCACTGCATCTCAGAAATTATATGCACCTTAACATACCTGTGCAGCCATGATGCGTTGCCTTTCCTTAATAAGTCCGCACTTGGCACAATTACAATTTTTATAAACGCACTGTTTTTTATGCCCTCGCAACGTTGAAATCATACCATGATTTCTGCATCTCGCACATTTGGGAACTCGAGATGATCGATTGTTAGCCAGCATGTTATTGTAAAAAAAAGCTCTAACATATAGTAAGAAAGACACATGCACTTGAAGTCAATATAGCATTCTTGAAAAGAATACAATGTTAAAAGTTTCCCATCAGAGATTTTCAGGAAACTCCTGATACAGCATCCCAGTTTCGACCAATTGAATCCCGAATCCGCGTCATTCTCTTAGTATAGGATGTGGAACATCCAATGGTGATGTGGACAAGTCAAAGTGCTCCGCCTATAGTATGATACTCAATTATTAAGATATTTACTTTATTAGCGCCATTTATTATGTGGGTGCCCCCGGAAAACTGCCAAAGAGATAATCGAGCACAATACACCGTTTACGTAAGTAGCGCGAAAATCTGCTTCGAGGAATTAAACACTAAACCTATAGGTACGATAGGAAACTGATTTTAAGTCAATTAATGGGGTGCGCTTCCCTTGTGGAAATCACAAAATTGCGAAACGTCTCTACATCCGCATGTAAATTCGTTTCCATTAGATTTCTAAAACAACTCCAAGAAAATGTTTACATTTATTTAATTTAGGTAGATCGGTTTATAAATCTATTCCGGCCGGTGAGTTCAATTAAAATCGATTAAATACGGAAATAACTATAAATAACGTAATTTATCTGTTGGTACCTACATGAAAAATATCTTTAAATGAGGTCTATGTATGTAATGTGTGACGTATTGCTGTCAGTTTGTTAAATAAACACGAGTCCATTAGATTGTTGCATCACATATGTCATCGTTTAAGACCACCCAGTATAGATTAACACTCTTACACTTCGCATATGATACCGTATATAGTAGAATTACGTTTACAAGCATTTTTTTACAATAAACACGTTCTTCCTGTTGTGTTTTTTTTTTAAATATTGATATACCATCAAGACATCCCGAGGAACATTCCATAAGAAGAGGGTATGAAATAAGGTATGCAATTCGCCCGCGTTATCTTTATCTTGGTTCTTACCATTACTATAGTTAATAAGTATATAACTTATAAATTTTAGCATCTTAATATAGGTATACTTCCTCAGCCACAGATTTAAATATACTATCAAATATATACTAACAAACGGAAATACCTGAAGATCTGTCAAACCCTAACGACTTTAATGAACATTTTTTAAATGCTGTACCTAATCGCAAATTTAACAATCAGTTACAACTACAGTTTTACTTAAATAATACAAAACACCCAGCAAGTTCTGTTCTTATTTTCCAACCAACTACTGAAGACGAAGTGCTTAAGGTTATTAACGCTATGAAATCTACAGCCACTGGAGTAGATGGTATTAATTTAAGAATTATCAAACTTTGTGTACCGTATCTACTTAAGTTTATAGTACACATGATCAACTTTTGCTTAAGAAATTCGCTATTTCCGGCACAATGGAAACTTGCTTATATTATCACTGTAGCTAAGAAATTATCTCCATCTAATCTAAATGATTTTCGTCCAATCAGTATTCTACCAACTTTATCGAAAATCTTAGAAAAAGTAATTGAAAAACAAATTAGAACTCATTTGTCCTTAAATAAATTAATCCCGGATGTCCAATCTGGATTCAGATCTATGCACAGTTGTTGCACTGCTCTTTTGAAAATTGTAGATGATATAATTTCCGCACTGGACCAGGGGAAAGCAACTATTCTTGTTTTGCTAGATCTCTCTAAAGCATTTGATACGTTAGATCACGCCATGCTTCTAGCTATTTTACATTACGTACGTTTCAGTCCGGGAGCCATAGCCTTGATTGACAGTTATCTTTCCAACAGGAAACAAGCAGTTAAAATCTCAGGTAAAATATCGACTTTTAAAAATGTCACCCGGGGAGTACCACAAGGGTCCATTCTTGGACCATTATTGTTTCTTATTTACACATGCACCATAGTAAATTGTCTTCAATATACCACATTACATTCTTATGCTGATGATACGCAGATCTACTATTCATTTCCAGCTGCAGATGTAGGTAACGCTTGTAAACGCATAAACGCAGACCTAGATGCTTTGCAAAACACATTTCAATCTCACTCTCCACATTTAAATTCAAGCAAATCTATTGCAATATTGTTCAGCGGCGCAAATCAGCGGGAAATGCTAATGTCTCAAATCAATATTAATATTAGGAATGAAGCGATAACTTTTAAAGATGTTGTAACTAATTTAGGTCTTAATCTTGATAATAAATTGCGTTTTAAAAACCATATTTCTATTTGTCTCCAAAAAGCCTACGGCAATCTTAAAAAGATTTACTCTATTAGACACTCTTTAAATACAAACATAAAAACTCTTCTTTGTGAATCTCTAGTCCTTTCTAAGTTGAATTACTGTGATATACTTTATAATACTTGTCTAGATACTAATGATGAACGGCGCATTCAAAAGTTGCAGAATGGTTGTATGCGATTAATTTTCGGCATAAGGAAATATGATAGAATCACGTATAAATTGAAAGATTTAAATTGGCTCAATATGAAAAATAGGAGACTGCATCATAGTCTTGTGCTTTACCATTCTATCATCCTAAATAAGACACCGGCGTACCTCCATGATAAAATAACCTATAGAACCGACGTACATAATTTAAATTTGAGATTTAGGGGTTTAGTAAGTCCGCCACTCCATCAAACAGCTTTATTTCAAAGATGCTTTAGTTACAACATCTACAAGAGTTATAACCCACTCCCTCTAAATCTCAAATCACTTTCTTTAAAACAGTTTAAGAGGAACTGCAAGATGTTCATACAACAAAAGCAAGCACAGTAGCCAGGTGATGTTGCAATTGTTATCTGTAGTTCAAATGTGTGTTTCTTTTTTTTTCTCTTCGCCTTTTCTTAAGATCATCTGTAGTATAGTTACTTTCTTTTTCTTTCTGTAAGTAGGTAGTATAGTTACGTTGTTTTTCGTTTTTTTATTTTTTTTTTTATGGTATCATCATTTAAACTTTCAATTTTGGGTTGAGTGGAAGAGCAGGGAGTAATAATTTTTATTACAATCTGAACTCCGCCCTTTGAGTAGTGAGTAGTTGGTAATAAAAACAAATTTTTTTTTTTCGTGTAAGGTGTAGCTCAATAAAGGCATTATTATTATGGTCGGTGTTTCTTGTGAGAACTCAGGTCTAGCCTGGTTAACTAATCGCACGGATTAAAATCAAGTAACGATTAGTATCTGTGTCTGTGTCTGGTGAAGTTATGTAGGGTCCTTAAAAAAAACACACACGTACATTGGACATCTAGGGATAGTATGTAATTCGTACTTACCAACATACCTATTGATGGGCACAATAGCCAACGCTATCAGGAAAGAGGAAAACAAAACAAAACAAAAAAATCATTATAATAATTCCTGTAATTTTATTAAATGGAGTTTATTGTGTAAGTGTTTCTTTGGCTTTGCGTTTGGGTTGAATACGAGTGGGTTGTGATAACGTGGTGTGCTTCTGTGAAGAAGGAGTTTTGTGTTTTTTAATTGTATTTATGGTGTTTCTTTGTTCCTGAGGTCGTATTTGTGAGGTTGCTTGGGTTTTTGGTGGAGATATTGCAGTATTTTGTGAGCCTGTGGTGCTGTTAAGGTTTTTGCGTTTCGGTTGTATACGAGTGGGTTGTTTCTGAGAAGAAGGAGTATTGTGTTTTTTAACTGTGCTAGGGCGTGTAACTTTATTGGATGGACCTGTCTTTGTAGTACATGTTGCGTTACTTGTGTTTATGATGTTTCTTTGTTCTTGAGGTTGTATTTGTGAAGTTGCTTGGGTTTTTGGTGGAGATATTTTAGTATGTTGTGAGCCTGTAGTTCTGTTAAGGTTTTTGCGTTGCGGTTGAATACGAGTGGGTTGTGAAAATGTGGTGTGTTTCTGTGAAGAAGGAGTTATGTGTTTTTTAACTGTGCTAGGGCGTGTAACTTTATTGGATGGACCTGTCTTTGTAGTGCATGTTGCGTTACTTGTATTTATGGTGTTTCTTTGTTCTTGAAGTTGTATTTCTGTTGTTGCATGGGTTATTGGTGGAGACATTACAGTATTTTGTGAGCCTGTAGTGCTGTTAAGGTTGTTGCGTTTGGGTTGTGTTTGTGATAACGTGGTGTGTTTCTGAGAAGAAAGAGTATTGTGTTTTTTAGCTGTGCTAGGCCGTGTGGGTGAGGGCGTCTTTGTAGTGCGTGTTGCGTTACTTGTATTTATTGCGTTTGTTTGTTCAGGAAGTTGTGTTTGTGTGGTTGGTTGAGTTAAGTTTGGAAATATTACAGTATGTTGTGTGTCATGTTGTGAGTCTAAAGTGCTGTTTAGGCTTTTGCGTTTGGGTTGAATACTAATGGGTGGTGATAATGTGGTTTGCTTCAGAGGTGAATCTCTGATTGTAGTATATGTTGTATCATTTGTTGTGCTTGTTTGTTCGGTAAGTTGTATTTGTGTGTTTGTTTGGGTTAGAGGTGGAGATATTACAGTATGTTGTGTACCGTGTTGTGAGCGAGTACTGTTGTTTACATGTATACGTTGTGGATCATTTCTGTATGTAGTAGCTTGTGTTATGTTTAGAAATTTACGAACAATATGGCATGTGTTGATAATGACTGCTTTTTGTAAATGTTTGTATGTGTTTTTGTCTAAACCTAATAGTTGTAAATTGTGGTGTATTGTCTTTGGTATAACTCCAGTAGCACTAAGAATAATGGGAACTATAACAGTAGATTTCATTCTCCATTGCGTCTTAAGCTCGATAGCTATATCGGTGTATTTGCGGTGTTTTTCTGCATGTGTTTTAGTTAAGTTGTTAGTGTTGGGGATGGCAATGTCTATAATACAAATGGATTTTTGTGTTTTATCTATAAGTGTAATGTCTGGTCTATTATTGTGGATAGTTTTGTCTGTGAGTAGTGTCCTGTCCCAATATAATTTGTGTGTGTTGTTTTCGAGTATGATCTGTGGCGTGTATTTGTAGTATGGTGTCTTATCTGTTATGAGATTGTGTTTAAGTGCTAATTTTTGATGTATGATTT